TTCAGTCGGAGGAAAAAGGAGATACTTATTTGAATGATCTACTTCTGTATTATGTTTTAGAATTCTGTAGTCATGTGTGGAAAAGTAGAGTCTGTTTTATAATTGTTACTGGCAAGATTTGAGATTTGTTTTTTTACACTTTGCAGTTGGTTAGAGCCAATGTGACAGGTATACCTGTCTGCATTGTAATATCATCAATTGAAACAAATAAAAGTACAAAGTATGGGGTGTCGGCGTGCGGTCTACTAGGGTGGTTCAGTGCAGGAAAAAAAGAGATCCTTATTTGAATGGTAGTGTTTTAGAATTGTGTAATCATCATCAGAAGTAGAATCTATTTTATAGGTGTTGTTGGCAAGTTTAGCAATTTCTTCTTTCATTTACACTCAAGTCGATCATTTTGTTGATGTTAAAACTGGGTGATACAAACACACTCTTTCATTCTATTATCTTGCAAGCTATATTTCATTTTTTTTTAAATTCTAATAAGAATAATTTATGAAGTTTTAAATCTTTTAAATTTCTGTATTAATTTCTACCAGTTAAGTATTTTCTTCCCAAACTAGAAAGGGAAAATGGAAATTATTCTAACTTGTACGTGAGAGAAGTCTTGGGGACACAAGGAAGGAATTTACATGGAAGTAATGTACAAAATGTTTCAATGGTTTGCATGCAAGCATGGGGTGCCAGTGTGCTGTCTATTAGGGTGGTTCAGTGCAGGAAAAAGGACATCTTTATTTGAATGATTTACTCTTGGATTGTGTTTTAGAATTGTGTAGTAATCATCATCTGAAATAGAATCTGTTTTATAAGCATTATTGGCAAGATTTGGGATTTGTTCTTTCTTCTACATTTGGCAATTGCTTACGCCCCATATGTGATAGGTGTACCTGTCTGCATTTTAATATCATCAATTCAAACAAATAAAAATATAAGGATTTTTTTTTTATTAGCTAAGCAAGATGTGTACAATATTGGTGTCACTCAGGTCAAAGTTTTTAGACCAAGGTGTTTCAGTTCGTAGCAGTTTAAAGTCAAGCATCTAATGTAAATTGTCTGATTTCCAGTGTACAGGGTAAACAAAATATTAATTGAAATTTAAATTCACTCACCTCAGACTATCTAATTTTCTGATTGACAATTTTGATGGAATTTGTTTTTTGCCAAGTGATGCAAATATGGAAGAAATACGCAAGCACACACAAAATGATTCTCCAGTATGCCTGAAATTTTATTTTCAGTTGTATTTTAAGTTTCAGCTGTAAGTTTCAGCATGAATATGGTTTCTCTCTGTTTTATAGGTGTTATTGACAAGATTGTGGATTTCTTCTTTCAGCTACACTTGGCAATTGTTTAGGTCCTATATGTGATAGGTGTACCTGTATGCATTGTAATATCATCAACTGAAACAAATAAAAAGTAAAGATTTTTTTTTATTGACTAAAGAAAACATGTACAATATTGGTGTCACTGAGATCTAAATTTTAGACCAAGATGTTTACGTTAGTAGCAGTTTAAAATCAAATGTCTAATATAAATTGTCTGATCTCCAGTGTACAGCGTAAACAAAATATTGACTGAAATTAAAATTCTTTCTCCTGACCTTTTTCGCCTCAGACTATCTAATTTTGTGATTGACATTTATAAAATTTGTTTTTTGCAAATGGATGCAAATACTGAAGAAATCCAGACACACCCACACAAAAACAATTATCCAGTATGCCTGAAGGTTTATTTTAAATATTTCAGTAACATTTAAATATTAGCTGTTAACAAGATACATATTACATAAATACAATGCACATGCCAAAGGCTTTTCATAGATGATTTTTCTTACCAAAGTTTTACTTACATTTCTGAACACTATAAACCTACATGATTATGTCTAGCCTACAGGGAAAAAAAAGTCTATTTCCCAGAAAATATTGATCCAGACAACATGAATATGGTTTTTCTTCAGCATGTACAATATAATATATATATATATATATATATATATATATATATATATATATATATAATATTGGTGTCACTTAGGTCAAGGTCTTAAACCAAGGTTAGTAGCAGCTTGAAATCAAATATCTAATGTAAATTTTCTGATCCCCAGTGATATAAGTTATAAGAAATATTAGTTTAAAATTAAATTCGCTCTTTTTCATTTCATACCATCCAATTTTGTGATTAACAATTTTGATGGAATTTGTTTTTTGTAAATTGATGCAAATATTGAAGAAATCCATACACACACAAACATACACAGAGAAAAAGAATTCTTCTGTATGCTTTAATGTTTATTTTAATTATTTCACTGACATTTTAAGTTTCAGCTGTTTAACAAGATACATTATTCATATATGCCATGTACCAAAAGCAGAATACTTTACAGTTGCTTATTTTTAAAGCAAAGTTTATTTACATTTCCGAACACTGTAATTCCACAGGATTATGTCTGGATTAGAGGGAAAGAATGTGTTCAATAAGTGATTTTTAAGCTCGATTTCTATGAAAATGCTGAACCACACACTTCACATGAATATGGTTTCTCACCAGTATGTGTTCGCATGTGATTTTTTAAATTTGAGTTCTTTAAAAATGATGATCCACACACTTCACATGAATATGGTTTCTCTCAGTATGAGTCTGCATATGAGATTTTAAAGTTGAACTACATGCAAATTTTTGAGCCACACATTTCACAAGAATATGGTTTCTCTCCAGTATGTGTTTGTCTATATATTTTAAAATTACACTCCATGTAAATTTTGAGCCAAAAATTTCACAAGAATAAGGTTTTCCACCTGCATGTAACTGCATATGGATTTTTAAACTTGAACATTGAGAAAATGCTGACTCACACATTTGACAAAAATGGTTGTAATTTCATATGTATTTTTCAAGTCTGCATATATTTTTAAACCAAAATTTTTCTGATGTGTCTTTAAATTTCTGAACATTTGTAATCCTGCTAACAATATAATTTATATGTATTTGAAGATGATTTTTTTTAAAAATTCTGAGCACTACAAATGAAATTTACTTACAGTGAAAGGTTGATTTTCAAAAAGTTAAAAACTCAACATTCACACACTTAACATGAATATTTCTCTGCTGTGTGTATCCGCATATGATATTTTAAACTTGAATTCCATGGAAATGTTAAGCCACAAATTTCACATGAAATAATGTTTTTAAATTTGAGTTTTTCAAAAATGCTGAATCACACTTCACATGAATATGGATATTTTAAATTTGAGTTCTTCTGAAAATGCTGAACCACACGCTTCACATGAAAAGGGTTTTTCACCTGTATGTGTCCGCATGTGAGCTTTTAAATAATAGTTCTTCAAAAATGCTGATCCACACACTTCACATGAATATGGTTTATCACCTGTATGTGTCCGCATGTGATATTTTAAATCAGAATTTTTTAAAAATGCTGATCCACACACTTCACATGAATATGGTTTCTCACCAGTATGTGTCTGGATGTGACATTTTAACGTTGAGTTGGATGCAAATCGTGAATCACACATTTCACACGAATATGGTTTCTCTCCAGTATGTATATGCATATGATATTTTAAACTTACACTCCATGCAAATGTTGAGCCACAAATTTCACAAGAATAAGGTTTCTCACCAGTATGTAATCTCATGTGAGTTTTTAAACTTGAACATTGTGAAAATGCTGAACCACACACTTCACAAGAATATGGTTTCTCTCCTGTATGTACTCTCATATGAATTTTTAAATTTGCCTTCCTTGCAAATGTTGAGCCACAAATTTCACATGAATGTGGCTTCTCACCAGTATGTATTTGCATGTGAAATTTTAAACTCGACCTCTGTGAAAATTTTGTGTCACATACTTCACATGAATAGGGTTTGTCACCAGTATGTGTCCGCATGTGAACTTTTAAGATTGAGCGCTGTGAAAATGTTGAACCACACACTTCACAAGAATATTTCTTTTCACCAGTATGGGATCGCATGTGTTCTTGTAAACTAGAGTTCCGGGAAAATTTGGACCCACATAGTTTGCATGCAAATGGTTTCTCACCAGTATGTGTTCGCATGTGCCTTTTTAAGCTGCATCTCGCTGAAAAGGCTGAACCACATACTTCACATGAAAATGGCTTCTCACCAGTATCCATTTGCATGTGCCCTTGTTATTGAGACTTGCTTGAAAATGTTGAGCCACACACTTCAGTTTTTCTATGGTTTGTTTCTGTATTGCAGTTTTGAAATGGAAATTCTGTGAAAATTCCAATCCATCTTCTTTCTGTGTATCAGAATTGTTTTCAGAATATGTTTTAAGTCAATCTTTCCATGAGAACCCCTTTCCAGGGATATATTGATAATCTGTACAAAAAAAATAAATAAATAAAGGAAAAAAAAAAGAAGCATATGCTTAATGTCAATTTGTTTTTGGTATTATGCTCTCAAAGTCAAATAAATACATCTTCAAAAAAAATGCAAGTTAATTTTCTTGTTCCCAGGATCTTTCCGAAAACCAAAATACTTTTACAAGAATGGCATTAAAATTGTCATAAATGTTTGGAATGAGGTTATTGATATTGATGGAAGCTTTATCAACAAATTCTTCCTGAAATTCTAATATTACACTTGATTTGGTGAAAAGGATGTTTTGGCAGTCATTCCTATATGATTGATGCGAGATTGTAGGCTTGAACTTTTTGCAAATGCTGAACCACACACTTTACAAGAATATGCTTGTTCTTCAGTCTGCTTGTAGATTTGAATTCTTAAATTTGATTCATATGACAATGATTTCTCATATGTGTGTGTCAACCTGTGTTTCTTTAATGCTGAAAAAGCTGTAAATTCTGAACCAGACACTTCACAGGTATATGTTTTTTCTACAGTTTGGGTGTGCACTGCAGTTTCAAAATGCAAATTCTGTGAAAACTCCAATTCATCTTCTTCCTATGTATTGGTATTGTTTCCAGAATATACTTGCAGGTCTGTCTTTCGATGAGAACTCCTTTCCAGGGATATATTGATAATCTGCACAAAAAGAAAGAAGTAGATGTTTGGCATGTTTTATCAATTTGTATCCAGTAAAACACTTTAAAATGCAAATAAATAGCCCTTCAAAAATTGCAAGTTAATATCGTTCCCAGGATCTTTCTGAAAATCAAAAGACTTTTACAAAAATAGCCTGGAAATTTTTTTTGTTTTCAGCATAACACTCTAAAATGCAAGTTGCAAGCTTTATCAACAAATTCTTCATAAGCATGAAGGTTTGATATATTTGCTGATCCAATATTCTAATATTACACTTGATTTGAGGAAAGGGATGTTTTTGCAGTCATTCCTATATGATTGATATGAGATTGTAGGCTTGAACTGTTTGAAAATGCTGAACTACACACTTGACAAGAATATGCTTGTTCTTCAGTCTGTAGATTTGAATTCTTAAATTTGATTTATGTGAAAATGATTTCTCATATGTGTGTCTCAACCTGTGTTTCTTTAATGCTGAAAAAGCCACAAATATTGAACCACACACTTCACAGGTGTATATCTTTCCTACAGTTTGTTTCTCTATTGTAATTTTGAAGTGCAAATTCTATGAAAATTCCAATCCATCTTCTTCATGTATATCAATATTGTTTCCAGAATATGCTTCCCATTGATCTTTTCATAAGAATTCCTTTCCAGGGATGTATTGATGATCTTGTGACGTAGCCCCGTTTTCATTAACCATATAGGTGTTAGGCTAAAAAGCACCCCAAAGTAAAATCTTAAATCCTAGTCGAAAATTAGTTAGATATAAAAAAAAAAATAAATAAATAAAAAAATAAATTTAATCCAATGTTTTTTCGACTTGCAAGCGAATATGTTCCATGATCAGCCATATCCTCCTCTTCTCTTCACAAATTCTTTCCCTCTTTATCTACTCTTCCACCCACAAGCCAAGGGCCCGTGAACTTTGAAGTGACTCGACGCGAGAATGACCTGGTTCCAAAATTTTGCAGCTATCAGGCGGCTGACCATAAGTGAATTCCAGGCACCCTCAGTATCTCCTTCTGCGATTCACGTAATCAGAACCTACTAAGTGTGTACTGAACTTTTGGCCATCACACAAACACTGCGTGATTTGCGCCCTATCCTCCTGCGTAAATGGTCAAGGACGAAGGGAACCCACGTGAATGTCTTTGGGGACAGCGAAAATCTAAAAAAAGATTTTCAGTTTCCCTCTGACCAACAGCAGTTGAACATCGCTGGGCAAAATCGTCAGACTGCCCACTGAGATGGAGTAGACAGCAAAGTCTGTCAACTAGAGGTGAAAGGACTGCTATGAAACTGAATCAACCCAACGAAACGCCTGTACAAGATGCTGTGGACCATCGAACCCTTGTGAAAGAAAAGAAATAAAAAAGAAAATTGCGGCCGACCAAAATATTGTTTTTTAGCATCAGAACTCTCGCTTGGTGAATCAGAATGTGTGAAAATATTTTCGACTGAAAGATAAGTTGATTCTCTTGGTTTGATCTGTTTTTTATATATATATAAATATATATATATATATATATATATATATATATATATATATATATATTCAGCATTCTGTTCTTTAAATGATCCCCTTCCCTTTGTTAAATGAATGTAAAAAATTTTTTTCTTTCTTTATATATATTTATAAATAAATGTTTTATTTTGAAAATCCATCGTCTTGTGTCTGTTTTTCGTTGATTCCCTTGTGTCGCTTCCATTTCTGAGTGAAGACCGAGAAAAGATCCCACGTTTACCTTTTTTTTAAACCCGTGGTTCATGTATATGCTACAAGTTCGTAACAATCTGTACAAAAAGAAAAAAAGCATAATACTTTAAAATGCAAATTAATATTGCTTCATAAAAATGCAAGTTTCTTTCATTGTTTGGAGACTTTTATGAAAACAGCACTGAAATGGTTACAACTCAGTGGAATGAGTTTATTGATACTGATGGAATCTATAGGGTGGTCTGAAAGTTTTGTCACCTCTCTTCCAAACTGTAGGAGCTTGTGTCAGCCATCTGAAATAGAAATTAATAATACTAGGTGACAAGACTTTCAGACCACCCTGTATATCAACAAATTATTCGTAAGCATGAAGTTTAGAAACATTTGCTGATCAGAAATTCTAATATTGCACTTGATTTGTGGAAGGGGATGTTTTTGTAGTCATTCCTACCTGATTGCAACCAACACAGCTGCTTCATAATGTTTTCCTTTTCCTCATATTCATTCACACCCAGTAACCCTTTGCGTTTTAGGGACTTTATTACTTTGCTTGGGGTGAAATGTTAAGAGTGGGTTAACAAATGTGCAAAAGAATTGTTACAAAAATAATTTATTTGTGAAGAATTACTGAAAGTTTTAGTAAAATCTACAAAAAAGCGATTCTAATGAGGCCAACTGGATTTCGAACTCGGCTCTGTGAGTTCTTCTTGTGCGGCCACCGCCCAAATTCCATCAGAGACACGGGTTGCTTTAGGTAACATTACACTAGCCAACACCTCTAAATGACAATTGTTGAGATTGGTTCCAATTAGCTTAGATATGGTCAAGTCTTCGGCTTTGGGAAATCACCTAAAATAACCAGCCTGAGACAAGGTGATGAAGAAAAATTAATTACTGAAAATACCTTTTTTGTCTATGATTTCTAAAGTTTTGGGTTTGTCCCAAAGACAGTTGGACAATCCTTTGAAAATGGGCTGAGGTTGGATGCTGAGAGAGATTAGCACCAACTATATGGAGTGATGGTGCAAGATGAAAAGTGACAGGATCCGGAGTTAAGGGGCAGTCTGATACCTCTGGCCACTCTCAAAAGGAGGCTGGACAAACGCTAGATTTGAAAAATTACTTGAGTAAACATAGTGTAGTGTTTCTTATTGTCTTGCACACTTTTTTCTTTATTTTTACATTCAGAATGCTTTAAAAATTCCATTTACAAGACAATTGTTTATAATAAAATTCTATTCAATCGGTAGACTCATAACAATTGAAAACAATGTTTTTGCTTGAGTTTGGGTTTGACCAATTCGAAAAAAAAAAAAAAAAACTAATTAAGACATGTGTGTCCGTCAACCTTAAACAATAATCTTTGTCAATTTTATTTTTCAGTCTTTACAATGGTCGATACTTGATCTATCTCTTACTGTTAGATCCCCGGGCAACGCCGGGCTCTACTGCTAGTTTGCTAATAACCATAGTAGGAAGGGCTAAAACTGCTGTATACAACAAATATAAAGCTAATCAAAGTTTTTTAACCCAAGTTTTTATTCCTTATTTTAAAGAATTCTTTTTGAGTTTGACCTGTTCTTCACTTGAGTTTACTTCATCAGTGATCTTCTTACTCTGGCAGAGGAGTGAATGGTCGTGAAGCAGACAAATGCCAGCCATACAGAATGGAACCATGCTTATCATCATGATAACAGCGACAACACAGCAACGTGTTAACATGTAAAGCAGAGGTCGGCAACTCATTCGACCCCGCGGGTCGGATCAGGTTATAATGACGAGTCGTGGGCCGGATGAAGGCCATTAATGAAAATTACATATGCAGACCCCTGTCAACCTAAATATTTAAAACCATAATAAAAATAAACATTGAGAAATCAGAAAAACAAAAGAAAATCTAAAATTAAAAAACGCTGAACAAAAATTACTTTTCCTCAAGGAATGTCAAAATACTTCAAAGTGAAAAAAATCAACCAAAGTGAAATGGATGAAATGACGTGTAGGTTTGAAACTGTTATTGAAAATTGTTCCACAAATGAACCACACACACACACACATCAAACAAAAACGAAGCACATATACCCATACATATGAGTAAAAATAGTTGCAAACATATACACTTACGTACATACACATGCGGTATCATCCACACATTCATGAGGCATGTATGTATAATGCACATATGTTTAACTGTCTTTAGATTTCTGCTACCTCGCATGTCAGTCCCTCCCTGGCCTCTTTCACTTTATCGTTCCTTTCGCTTCTGTTATCTTTTAATGTAGCCAAGGGTCATAAGAAATATGTATCCATTATTTGACATTAAACGTAGGCAACGCAACTTGGTAAAATAAGTCTCATGAAAGATAACTGGCAGATAGTCTAATATTTTTAGTGCACTGAGATGTGTAGACATTATATGGAAAATGACATATAACAAATTTCATTTGAAGGTCATCTCTTATGTTAAAAATAGAGTCATTGGTAATCAGGCTCGTGGGCCGGTCAAAATGTCAACCCTTGATGTAAAGAGTCAGCTAGATGGTAACCATGGTAGTCTGAAGGAAACTGAAGACCAACATGTCAGTGTCAGTGGGTTACAAGCTCACATTTATTTTTAAAATAAATAATTGCTTTATTTACAGTTTGAATCCTCATCATTGAAAAAAAATATTAGAAAAAGATGTAAATGCAATAGCCATTGATGAATGGTATTCAACTGGCAATGTTAATTTACTTGTTCGACAAGACCAATTTGGATATGTCAGACCTGTTTTTTCACGAAATGAATGCCAGTATACACATTTTCTGACTAGCATACACCTCAAGATTAATATATCTTATTTATAAAAAGCTTTTCCAATTAAAATTAAATAATGTCTTTATTGCAATTTTTATTTTACAATTGAGAGCAGAATTTTCATTCAATGGTGTTCCTGCTTGACAAAAAGTTAATAATTACTAAGATTCTCCAAGGAGTCTTGCTTTTTAACTAATATAAATATGAAGAGGCTAAAATTTTAATTTCTCAAAATTTCATAAATTTAAGGGGGGGGTAAGATATGTAAAAAAAATTTAAAAAAATCTATTTTTACGAAAAAATGTTTACAAAATAATTTTCTTCATTTGGCAATAAGTCCTGAAAATTTCATTAAAATCCAACAATTATTTGATTTTTGCAAGAATTCCAAATCAATGTGTTTTTTTTACCACCAAAAAGACGCTAAATTTCCCATACTAATCTTTAGCCTCACAACGTAGCTGACAATAAAAACAAAATTTT